ATGTAAAACGTACGCCAAAATTCGATGCTGCAAATCGATCAGCAGCTGAAACAGCTGTTGTTGCTGTTGTATGTGCATAGAAAGCATTTATATTTGCTAGTAGTGTTGACATAACGGCTGGAACACGAGGACACATATATTTATTTGAAAGACAAGCAAAATGAGTCATGGCTTGATAAATTGACTCAATACCATAACGTATCGCAAATTCAACAACAATATCTTGTGATGGATCATCAAAAAACACCTTCCATGCCTCATCCTGTAAAAATAGAACATCAGAATAGGATAAAGACAAAAATGTTCGATAATAATGACATTTTATATCGATCTTCTAGCGTAAACAGAGACAGAGAGATCATTAAAAAATTGAAGTTAAAAATCTCTACTCAGCGTTTAAATGTCCTACCGGTGATGGATTTAGGGTGTTGGCGGCCGCCAGACCGAAATTTTTGATTTTATATTATTATACTCTCCTTCTTGAATAAAGGAAAAGAAGTAAGAATCGTGTCGTCTAGAAACTCCTAAGCAAAGTTGCTAAATTTGCTCTTTTGTCCAAATCCACCAGCACCGAAAAATTTTCTGAATAATAATAATGATAGCACAGATGTTGCTACGGATGTAAAGCTATCGGAGACGTCCGATGATGATAGCGCTTCCGGATCGAACTCCTCTGACAAGTCGGATCATTCACCGAACAAAAAAGGTACAAAACGATCACAGTCAACAAGAAAAGCGAAAAAGACATCAAAAAAGAAAAAAGCTAAACCGGTTTCAGCTGCATTGACCTCTTCTTCATCGGACGGATCAGTGTCGAGCTCAAGCTCATCTACGTCGTGCACGTCGTTAACAAGTGCATCATCGACACCGTTAAAGTCATCAAAAGACAAGCTATTTGATCCACAGAAAGCAAAGAAACATCTGAAATTGTCGTCAACCATTACAAAATACTTAGGACGTACCAAAAGTACGGCCAGTGACACTTTAATACTGTATATTAAACTTTAAGAAATTTTCTTTCTATGCAGTCTGATAGAGCAAAGAATGCTCTATTTTTCTATGCTATTTGATCATACTTCAACTAAAAATATAAGAATAATAAAATTTTGATAAGATCTGTTTTGTTCACATGTGTCACGGTTCCATGAATGCTAGTGAGTATTTTTTGAATAACTTTTGATAGAAACAAGATAGAGAGCTGCGCTGTTCACCGTTGGAAAGAGGAAATGAAGATGCGTTGAATCATATGTTATAGGCTTTTCTAATATTGATTTCTGAAGTATTTTTATTCAATTTTCTAAGTGTCAGAAAAATATTTTTTTTTATGAAAAAAGGAAAAAGCACAAAAGTGAGCTTTTTTCACAGATTTTGCTAGAAAATTCTATTGGAAGCTCGACTAAAATGCATATTATTCATCTTAACCTTCCGCAATTTGTAGATCTTCGATTAGTGGGTTGAATTTACACTTGATAATTGAAAATTCGCTGTAAACAACTTATCAAATATGTTTGTTCTTACAAAAGCCAATTGTAAACCTTCCAAGAAACAGATCAAGAAAACCTATAATATATGATTCGACGCATCTTCATTTCCTCTTTCCAACGGTGAACGGCGCAGCTCTCTGTCTTGCTTCTATCAAGCGTTATTCAAAAAATACTCGCTCGTATTTTTTCAAAATTAGTACGGATACAACCGGCACATAACCAGCCGAAATAGGTTTTAACGATAATTTAATATTATGATATTAGTTGAAGTACGATCAAATAGCATAGAAAGACAGAACTTTTTTTGTCTCTATCAGATTATATAGACGAAAGTTACTTTAAGCCTACTATACGGTATTAAAGTGTCTCTGGCCGCACTGTTGGTATGCCCTAAGTACATTGAAAAACAGTTCACAGAAGTGCAACGTATCTCGGATTTGAAAGAATCGATGTTAGATAAATCCAAACCTTAAAAATCAAAGCTCTTACACTACCTTATCTCGATTTCGAATTGAAAGAAATGTTTTCAAAATTTGCAGTGGTTATAAAAACCGATGAGGATTTCAAAGCAGTCCAACAGCGTATTTTGAATGTTGTTCGTCCACTGACAAGTCTCTGGTCTAAAATTTTGAAAGCCAAAAAACGTGAAAAGGCATTAAAACCAGAAAAAATAGAACCACTATTGCAACAAACGGTTCTCCTATTGGGCCAAAGTAATGCTCATACTTTATACATAAAGAGGTTAGCAGTCATGAAAAAATTTATGGAAGACACAAAACAGACTCGGCATGTCATTTCAAACATTACGCAAAGCAGAAAATTCCTTGTTCAGCGACGATTTTATCAAAAAGATAGCAAGAGGGAAGAAACACTCAGAAGAACTGAAGAGGACGTTGCAACCGCATTTACCCAGACCCGGTTATAATCGTTATCTTCGAGGAGGAAATTCATTTCGACCACGGTCAAATTTTCCACGGAGTTCCGGTTCACGTCCTTGGAATAATAATAACAATCGTCCATTCAGTGGTTTTAACCCAGGTGGTTCAAAACGGCCAAGTTAACGACGTGTTCTATGTTAACGAGCCGTAAACGTATCGTTTTTACAACGTTAACTGGGACCGTGTTACGGGCCGTTTTTAAAGAGACAAACTGTTTCGAACTGCGACCTAATGATGTTTTTTGCTCAAGCGCACATCCGAAGAAAGGTATGCCTTATCGATCTCTAGCTTTGTAGAAGGCTTTTAGCTCATTACGCTTGATTCCACCATGTTTTACTCGGACTTTTCTTCGAGAACATGGTAAAATCATTTTTAATGTTTTCGTCAGCCAGATGATGCTTCCATCACGCCATAAGCTCTATCTGAAAAGGAAAAATCAATATTAATACAAAAACAGAGAAAGTACACAGCAATTTCGATCCACTGTTCTTCTACTGTACATGAACATCTCCTAGTCTGTAGTCATACTGTGGAACTATCTGATTTTCGATAAGCTTTGGAGTTTACTTTTCAAAAACATTTCCTCAGGTAAATTACGTCCTACTTCGGCGCGCAAATGTCGGGCGCTCAAACATCGGTTAATCCTTTTTATGAACAGCCTACACCACGCCATACGTGTATGTCTAAAAAGCTATTTTCCTCTGGCGAAAAGTTAGGCTGGATACACGTATGGCGTGGTGTAGGCTGTTCATAAAAAGGATTAACCGACGTTTGAGCGCCGACACTTGAGAGACCCGACATTTGAGCGACCGACATTTGAGCGACCGACACTTGAGCGACCCCGACACTTGAGCGGTTAATCCTTTTTATGAACAGCCTACACCACGCCATACGTGTATTCAGCCTAACTTTTCGCCAAAGGAAAATAGCTTTTTAGAAAAAGAAATTGCAAGTTTACTCGAGGAAAAAGCTATTGCTTTAACAGTACATACTCCTGTCGAATTTGTTAGCCATCTTTTTACGCGACCCAAAAGAGATGGTGGGGTCAGGCCGGTTTTTAACCTTAAAAAGCTAAATGAAAAAGTAGAGTATGAACATTTTAAAATGGAAACAATGATGGACGTGGAATATTTATTAGAAAAATATGATTTTATGTGTAAAATTGATCTCAAAGATGCCTATTTAACGGTAACTATGCACAGTGATGACAAAGTTTTTAAAATTCGATTTTAACGGCGTTTTATATAAATTTTTATGTTTACCATTCGGACTCGCACTCACCCCACGGATCTTCACTAAACTGCTAAAACCTTTCACAGCATTAGCTCGAAAGTTAGGCATTCGTCTCGTCATATATTTGGATGATATAATCATCTTCAATAAAAGGAAAGAAGGATTAATTCGGGTTCGTAATACCGTTAGTTTTATTTTACACCATCTCGGTTTTGTGATTAATTTTAAGAAATCCGTTCTAGAACCAACGAAAGTTATCAATTATTTAGGCTTTGATATAGATTCTAGCCAGATGAGTTTGTTTCTACCGCAAAACAAAATTGATAACGTGATTAAATCATGTGAACAGCTGATAAAATCAGAATGTATTACAATCAGAGAATTAGCAAAAATTATCGGGTTACTATCAAGTACGGCACAAGGTATCGCGCCTGCTCCAATTAATTATAGACAGTTACAATTTTATTCAACAAAAATGCTTTTAAAAAATTGAAACTATGAAGCCGAAATAACTCTGACTTCGGAATGCAAGACGGAGTTAACTTGATGGATAGAAAATATTAGATCACAGAACGGACACACGTTAATATCGCCGTCATCAGATTTATATTTTGATTTAAATATTTATTCTGACGCTCAACCTGAAAAATGAGGTGCATTTCACCCTGATGGAACATAGGAGGAAGATGGTTTAATGAAGAAGAAAATCTACATATCAATCCTAAAGAACTTTTAGCAGCATTATTCGCGGTTAAGTCATTTGCTAAAGGACTTGTTGATAAACATATTCATATTTTCAGTGACAATACCAGCGCGGTTTCATACATTAATAATATAGAAGGCACTCGATCTCAAGCCCTTATTGAAGCAGCAAAAAAATTTTGGAACTATTGTTTCGAACATAAACTACACGTTACAATAGAATTTCTATTAGGTCGTCTGAATACAGAAGCAGATTGGGCGTCACGTCATTTGCATGATGCTAGCGACTGGCGTCTGGATAAAAACATTTTTCTCAGTTTACACAAACTTTTCGACAAATTTGATGTTGACCTGTTCGCAAGCAGGCTTAATTCGCAAACCGTACAATATTTTAGCTGAAAGCCCGATCCTGAAGCAATCGGAGCAGATTCCTTACAGTTTGACTGGAATCGTTTCGAAAATGCTTATGCATTTCCACCGTTTTGTTTGATTTCACGTCTTTTAGCGAAATTACGCAGAGAAAAATCGACAGTAGTACTCATTGCTCCAGTCTGGCTCAACCAGACGTTTTTTCCTCAATCGCTTGCACAACTGATCGAAGCACCAGTACTCCTGCCAATTTTTCCACACCTAACTGTGAACTCGACGGGACAACAAAACCCAATGATAAAGCAAAAGAGGTGTTTGTGAGATTGTTTGGTCCTGGTCGTGGTTACACGCAGCTGTCAAGAACTTCTCCAACTAGCGATGATGATGTGAAACTGAGTCTAATGGACGTTCATGAAGATAAGCTTTTTTGCGATGAGCAAATCGGAAAAACATTAGCTAGAATGAAAAGATTTACGCCTTTATCTCGGTTATCAAGCAGTAATTATTTTATTGGTATTGAACTGAACGGTTATACTTTCATTCACAGATTACGCGAAGAATGTTTTGAAAATGCGCATCCACTTCGTTCATTAGCTCATGGTGGTGCTGGTATTTATATCAAAGAAGGAATTCCATTTGAACAGGTTATTTTAATGGATGTGTTAAATGTAGAGTGTGTCTTTGTTCATTTACCATTAATTGGCTTGTTTATTGTAACAGCATATCGCCCTGCAAAACAGAGTAAAACTGATTTTTCAAACAGAATGAAAGAAGTTCGACAAATCATTGACTCGTCAAATAAAACTGTATTCCTTTGCGATATCAATGAAAATTCTTTATCGGATGCTGAAAGTCACATTATAGACGAATCTTTTATTGGGGCGAAATTTACCAATTTGTTCCACAAAGTGCCAACCACAAATGAGTTAAGTAGTATAGACCGTATCTATGTTAACTTTGGAACAGAGGATGTAATTGAAAGGATCATTATTCCAAATTATTACAGTTATCACGAGGGATTCGGTATATCAATTAAAAACTGCGTGATGTTACAAACAGATTCTCAAATAAAATCTATTAATAGTAATGTAGCTGAAGTACCAGGTATGATAAGTGATTCACTTAATATTACGGCTGATAAAAACTCCTCATCAATTATGCCAACGACGCTATTCGACAAATGCAAATTCGAAAACCCTATATCTGATAAAAAAGTTAGTCCTAAACAAAACCCGCATATTAATGTTAATGAGAAGAGACACTCACCCTATGGCAAATACGGTATGACAAAATACGATGCAACACATTGGTACACAGACGATCATATACAAAACATCATTAAATATGCTATTAATGAAAATCAATTATTGAATGAAAATATGTTCAATTCTATGTTATGTACTAATCGATTTGTCCAAACCGAGAACAGAATGAGTAACGATATAGAATGATGTTTATCATATTTTCAGCAAGATAGAGCACGTTCTTTGTTAATAGTGGACACCAATCCTCGTCCGACAAGCGCAAATTGGCCTCTTCATGTGGATAATGAGATTTTAATTCCTTTAAATTTAGACCGTAATCATTGGGTTCTTCTTATAATTTGTTATGGAAATGATACTGCCAGCACAAACACTCCAGCTATACATTATATAGACCCTCTCGATCATTCTATTTATCCCGATTTATTACGAGCTGTTAGGAACTGTGGACTAGTATCCAATGACTATTGTGTACTAGAATATCCTGGTACTGTGTTACAAGAAGGTGGGCATAATTACAGGCCATGGATCTGTGTATGTGCAGAACTATGGATTCAAAAAAAGAAAGTTGATCTAAACGAGCTGAAGCAAACTAACATTTTTCAAAAGCGTGCTCAATACCTTTTTTGGATGTAGGCTTTCGTTTTGCTTGCATCGAGTGATTTTTTTTACAGAATACATATTGTCCCCTACACCTCTAGTCATAATTATATGAGATGCAGAATGTTCCACGAGGGCACATTCTGAGATTTAAAAAAAAGAAATCGTAACATTAATCTCATTCACACTTATACTGTTCAAAATTTGTTTTCTACTTCTTCACCTTTAGTTAAAAAACAAAAACAAAAACATAAAAACCGCCTATTGTAACACTGATCCTGTTTCGGCAGATAGTAAGCTTCCAATAACTCCATTGTTCAAGTTTAGTCTCTACTTCCTCGTACATGTTTACAACCTACAGATTAGAAAATTATGTTTTAGATCAAAAGATAGTTAGTCTAGCGCCAGCAGAACAGAATAAACCGTTGTCTTTGTTGAAAGATCTTACTGTTGGGGCTTTAGTATTTCCCCATATCTTTCCAGATGGTAAAGGTATATTTAACAATAAACGTGGGAAAAGTCTACCATATTCTTTATATTGTGATGCGCGATTTTTCAGTGCTGATCCAGAGATCGTATTTCCCGACAGAGATCGTATAACTGTTGGACAAGTAATAAATGATGAAAGTTTGAGACACTTAATGAGAAATGATATGGTGTTTAGACATTTACAGTATGTAAGAGGAAGTCCGCAGTACTGGGAACATGCCATGAAAGATGTTTTTTGGCCACATAAGACAGTTAAACACGCCTACATTTTCTTGTCACTCTTTCATGTGCTGATATGTTTTGGAAAGATTATCTTGTTGCACTAGCTAGACATAGTACGATAGGTGCAAAAGATGAATATACGCATGCAGAAAATTTAAAAGAAAATTTAATTTGATATAATTCTGTTCTCGCCGCCAGACTATTTGATCATCGTCTGAGAGCAGTTTTGCGCATGTTTATTTACAATGGCACTACACTAGGAGATGTTTAAGATTTTTTTGTGCGTCTTTAAGCACAAATGAGACACAGTGGGCATTTCCTCATAGAGCAGGCGGCATTTTTTGCCGACATAGTTTTTTTGAATCCAAAAGCACTTTTTTATAGGTTTTCGCATACGGTATTTCCAGCAGTGTGGCAAAGGTGAGTCGTG